TTAAGTTTTCAGGTGGACTTTCTCACTTAAAAACATATTAAAACTACTTTATTCCCACTGATCACAGCAAATATAGCTGCAAGATTTAGATTATTTAGATGAAAAACACCTGCCAGCAGCCGCGGTGAACGAAAGGATTTCTCCTGTCGGCGCACAGCTGGTATGTGGGGGTCTGAGCGCCTCCGACAGAAATAGATAATCTGGATGAACTGACTGCAATTATGAAGTTTTCAGGTGGACTTTCTCACTTAAAAACATATTAAAACTACTTTATTCCCACTGATCACAGCAAATATAGCTGCAAGATTTAGATTATTTAGATGAAAAAACACCTGCCAGCCACCGCGATGAAGAGGAGGAGACGCGCCGGGGCTGCTGTTGAATTAAGTTTTCAGGGAGAAAAATACAGCGGGAGCAAAACTGAGTATGATTGTGCTTTATTCATGTATTTATTACAAAGTATTAATCAAACCCATCAAAGTCATCATCCTCTGTTTCTGAATAAAACAGCTGCGCTAAATCAGACATGCCAGTTTCCCCTTCTTCGCTGTCAGAGTCACTTTCCGTGCAGCGCAGCTCCTCAGAAATAATGCCGGCTTTTGCGAAAGCTTGAACAACAGAGCCAGCAGACACTTTAGTCCAAGCATCTACAATCCATCCGCAAGCGGTGGCGTAATCTGCCCGGCGCTGCCTTCTTATCCTGAAACTGTGGTCTCCGTCGGTCATCCATCGCTCCCACGCCGCTCGCAGCCTTACTGTGAACGGCCGCTTCAAACCGATGTCGAGCGGTGGAAGCTCCTTTGTCAGACCCCCGGGATAACGGCGAGCACAGCGTTCATTTGATTCATCTTTTTTTCACATCGGCTGTGAGATGGGCACGCAGCGATGGTGATGCGTGGAAAAAACCACCTAGTCTTCTCAGATACACCTGCCTTTCATCATCTCCTCATCGATCCAGCCTTTTCATTTGCGTTAATATCATATGTCATCAGAGCGCTGTACTGTCTCGCTGTCAGCTCCCAGATCAGCTTCTCTGATTGGTTGATGCGGCGCGTCCAGCAGCAAAACTTACATTTTTCCATGTCGAGCAGCAGCAGCGCGTTGGCGGTGCGTCAGATGCTTAAACGCTCCCGACGTGCTGCACCAAAACGCGCTGCAGGACCTTTTGCTGCACCTATATGCGCGTCAACCATTGACTTTGCATGTAAACTCGCTGCTTCTGCTGCACCTGCTGGGTCCGGTTCACACCGATGTCGAGCGGTTGAACAGCGAGCACAGCGTTAATTTGTTTCCCCATGTTTTTCACATCAGTGAGATGGGCACGCATGGAGTTACATATTAACAGCGATGGTGAGGGGTGGAAAAAAAAAAAACACCTGGTCTCCTTACATTCAGCCACTCTTTCATCATCTCCTCAATGAGGTGGTCTCAAAAGTCGCAGTTACAACACACATAGGGCGCACCGCACCATAGGGCGCACCGCACATTTTGAGGGAAAAAAAAGACGTTTAAGTGCGCCTTATAGTCGTGAAAATACGGTATGCAATTTTATACACCTCAACGGCACCAAGAACAGATAAGATAATATTTTTCTCTTGGTTTTCACCAGTTCTATAAAGACTGGGTTTTACCCTCTTGGCAAATCACCAATAATGACCAGCAGAGAGTGAAAGTTTCAAATTCCCATGAAGAGATGGGGGTCAGTGCTGATAGAATAGAAAAGAATAGAAAATCCCTTTATTGTCCCACAATGGGGAAATTATGGAGCTGGAACTTATTCGTAAAATATATTCATCGCGTCTGTATCTCAAAAGATCAATTTGTTGCAAACCTGCATGTATTTGTTGATGAACAGATATTTGATATCTCCTCTAAGTGTTAAATAAGTTAAGCTAACCTCCAACTCAAACACAATTTTATATCCAATTATTTAGAAAAGCATCATGAATTGTGGTTTTCACTTAGAAATTATTCTGTATTTTCCATGATTCAAAACATCCACATTTGTACAAAACAGCAAAGTTATATGTTTCACAAAAGAGTTTTTTAAATGAAATTATTTACACTGTTATGGCGTCTAGACAGACTGTTTGGGTGAGATTGTCAGTATTGTTTTTTTTGCTCAAAATTTGATTTGTCCTTTGACAAACAGAAAGTGCTTTTCAGTCGCTGTTGATAGAAAGAAGTCTGAGAGGTTCACCCTGCTTGGGGTAGAGCTGAAGCATCCACCAGATGTAGTGCCAGAGCCCACTTTAACGTCTGTTTATGTCTCCTGCAGTTTGTTATGATCTGCAAACTCTACCTCCTGTTCAGTTTAAATTTCTGCAAGCATCACCTCAGCTCAGTTCCACCCGTCCTGCTGAAGGATGTCTGGTTTAAATCCCATTTCTCTCTTCTTTGTTTTGGATTAATTTTCATTGCCCAACTTTTACCTTGTCCCTGTTTCAGGATAAATACTGATGTGCAATTTTCTCTTTCTAAAGATTGCTTGTGTTCATGTGCAGTGTAGCTAAAGACCTAAAATAAAAACCAATTTCCAATTACAGCTCATTTATGCTCCTAACAAAACTATTAAAACTGCCAGAAATGTTTCACATTTTCTTTTCACTGCACAACTACAAACTTCAATAAATTTTATTATGATTTTTTAGGAATTACCAAAAAAAATTGCTCATTATTGTCTGAAAAAAGGGCTGAATTTTTTTTATTTTTATTTTTTAATATATATACATCTGCTGTAAAAACCTTAATATTGTATTGTAAAATCCATTTCCATCCTACTTGTGCAGGCTGGGTAAGGAGCGCATTGATCAGAAAAGCTGCTGAAATCTGGGATTTCGACAGCTGATAAATGGAAAATATCAGTTTGAAAAAAGAATAATAGAGTGTCTGCTTAAGCACAAGCAATTAAGGGGTCCCAGCAGTTTGTAGTTGACAAGGCTCTGGTCAAGTGTGGGAAAAAGAGACTGCACATGTCACTCTGTATGTTGGTGAGGGCGTAATTTACCAGATGTTCCTGACCTTCTAAGCATTGAGTGTTACTGAAACTCAGGATTATTGGAAGAGAACCAGTTAGAGCAGGCATCCCCAACCTCGGTCCTCAAGGCCCCCTCTCCTGGAGGTTTTAGAGGTTTCCTTGCTCCAGCACAGCTGATTTTAATTAAAAGCTGATTAACAGGGTTTTGGTCTACTGCGATTGTTATAATCAGCTGTGTTAAAGCAGGGAAACCTCTAAATCCTGCAGGACAGCAGGCCTTGAGGACCGAGGTTGGGGATGCCTGGTTTAGAGGATGCAACAGGGTTAAAACTCTGGCAGAGGTTCACTTTCCAGCAGAAAAACAGATCATAAAATATAAACAATAGAATGTTTTATATAAAAGCCAATATAATAAACTTAAAAACCAATGTCCACAAAAGTTTCTGAAAGCCGGTAGAGATATACATTAAAGTGGGAACGAAATCATATTAAAATATCAAATCATTCTGGCTTAAACATGTATATAAATGTACTCTTTATAAGACGATAATATACCAAAATGTAGAACATTTATATTTAAAAAAAAAAATCCTGTCTTAAAATCTGTTGGGGGTTTTGGCATTATTTCATGCAGGCCAGTTAGATATCTGTCAGCTTAAACACTTAAATTTGGCCAATCAACGGTCATCTGTCAATCAAATTTTATTCGTCATAGCATCTTGATTCATATGTTGCAGCTAATATGTGCAACGGTTGAAATAAGAAATAAGAATCATTATCTTTACCATTGAGTCTGTGTCTTCAGCAGGCGTAGAGCTAACAGAACTGGCAGGGTTGAGAGGCAAGGGCTCAAACATGTACGGCTGTAAGCCTTCTACACCAAACCAAGCTTCTGCTGCCCTGGCGTCCTCCTTCACAACAACTTCGTCCTCGCTTTCCTCCTCTAAATAAAAAAAATGTATGATTGAGGCTCATCCACGATCTCCGTCACAAAACTCTCCTCCTCTTTCATGTTTCCGCTGTCCATAGCGTTCCTTGACAGTGTCGTTTCTAGTCACCAATTTAGTGCTACTTGGTCCCAATGGAATTTCCCATTGGGAACCTACTAGCACTAAGTTGCTAACTGGTTAGCAAGATGCTTCCGACAAACCGGCCACAATTAAATTTGCTTGCGAACCTTCCGCCACAACAATCCCGCCCTCTCGATGAAACAACCAATCAGATTCACTTTATTTACTCGTGTAAAGTCGTGCACCGGGAGAACTCGGAATTCGGAAATGTAACGGTTGGTTGGAACAGCTGCTTCCGAACACTTTAAAAGAAAGATTGATTCTCATAGTTTTGGAGCAGGGTCGATTCTAGGGGTTCATTACCCTGAGTGTCACTGCTAATCCTTCACCACCAGTTTCCCTCAGTGTCTGCCTTCTGCCAGGTGTCTGTCTACCTGAGGCTACTGTAGCTTCCAGTAACAAAATCTACCTGCTCTTTGCACATTTATTGAGCTAAGGGTTGCAAAGTTTTTCCCCTTCTCACCATTCTAACAATCAGGAGACAAATAGGCACAAAACACCTGTTTCATTAACAAATAATCCTGGTGATAAAGGTCCCTTAAACACTCGATCCTATAAATTTTTCTTAGAACTTTTCTATGATACTAGATCCAGATCTAACCTTAATATAGTCGGTAATGCAATTAAGATACTCTTTACTTTCTCTTTAGGCTATTTTACTTTATTTAGGTATTTTATATAGTATATATAAATTGCAATGATATCCACTTCAGTTTTGTTTCTAATTTATTTAGATCAGGTAGCAAGAAATACAGTAAAGTTTTGCTTGTAGTATGTCAATGTCAATCTCACAAATGCCAGTACTATTACTTTTGCAAAATAGTTTCATTTTAAAATTCAATTGAAGAAAAATCTGGCTTTTATAGTTGTTAGTTTTCTGAACATTTCATTTGGACTGTGAGATAACTCAGTCAAACATGGGTATTCCTATGTGTTTTTTTTTTTTTCTACAGTCAATGATTTTGGAGAAAAAAGGTGCCAAGAATGAACTCTGTGATCGACAACAGCCACCGACAGGAAGTACAGAGAACGCTCAACCCGGCAGTGTGAGCGCAGCAGAGATGGCCAGACTGAGTGAAATAATTAAGCAACGTGACAATGAGATCAGTATCCTTTGAAATACATTAGTTGTGTTATATTTTAGGTTTTGAACATCCGCAGGGATACAGTAGCAGTCATGTATGTATTACTTTTTGACAATAAATTCCCTAAATAATGTAAACATTAACAGAGATTTTAAGCTAAATATATGAACTAAAATTAATACATATTTATTTAAATTAATATCCATTTAGAAGCAGCATATAACTGAAACACTCCTCCGCTCTAACTCATTAACCTGTTATCCTGCATGACCTCTTGCAATGTCCCATTGCGTAGCCGCAGCAATACCAAAGTGGAAATATTCTGTTTATATAATTTCCTTCTTTTAACACTTCTGTCACAAGAGTTTGGGGAAAGTTTACAGATTTCATAAAATGAAGGAATCCCACGCTAATTCTAATAATAGGTTAATTCACTGTTTTCTTCACTTTTATTTGGAAAATCCTCTCTTACAAAACCTTGGCTGATTAATTATTTCAGAATATTTGTTTAAGTAAAACACTTTATTGTATACACACATAATGTACTTTTAATAGTATTACATTCATACTCAGTGCTACACAGATCCAAAAATATCTTAAAGCATTAATGCCTATTTGTTTTTATGTCATGGTTCCTAGCTGTTAACGCTAAACACTATTGATCATAATTATAGTTCTTAGGTTTGGATATGATATTTCTAAAGACTTACTGGGTTTATTCTCCACTCTAGCTTTCTCCTTGTGGTTTTTCAATAAATCCCAGCACATATGTAGGAAAACTTGAGATATCTGCTTGATTATTTAACCCGCCAAACCTCAGCTCGCTAAAATAAACTAAACATTATCATGCAGATATTTTAGCATGGTATTTCTTGGAGCAAATGTGTGTAATGTGATTTCCTTGCTTTGTATATTTTCCCCTCTCAAACTGTCACTCCCTGGTTTTCGTGTGATGTAAATGTGACCGCTTCAACTGCACATATTTTAGGCGGTAATGCTCCCGCTATACTGGCTCAGTATGTTGTCTTTATGTTTTTTCGTTTTTTTCATAGTGAGGTTTGTATATTTAATTGCCGCAGCCTAAACTGTAACTCAGACAGTCATGGTGGTCTGTCTGCAGTTTAGCATCCTTATGGGCTTATCGTCACCTCCAGCCACTTGTATTTACCGGCTCATCCCCACGCTGTCCATTCCCTTTAACTGTTTCACACCTTTTACTTTAATGGGCTTAGGGTGTTTCCAGCAGCTTGTGCTTGAGGCTCACGCTTCCCACCCTGACAATAAGTCTTTATAGGGTTAATTGCAGGAATGCTGCCTGTAAAAGTGTATAACTATCCACTACCTCTGCAGAAATGCACTGCAAGCGAGTTATAGCACCTGGTAATGCTTAGCTTGCTCTGCTGGTGGGATGATGCATCAGCTAATACATGATGATGGAGCAACAAAGGGAACCAATAAACTCTGGAGTGACATAGAATTACTGTGAGTAACCCTTCCTCTCTGTAGTATCTGACTTTAAAAGAGGGGCAAAAACAGTTTAGTATCTTATACCTGTACTACATGTGTTTTCAGTCTAAACACTCATGGATCAAACAAAAATGGGGTTAAAGGGGTCATAGATTGATTATATAGGGTATTTGGTGCTGTTCCTTAAGGTCTCTAAATAGGATGTGTAACATTGGTTGGGCTGAAAATGACATATTTGCTGTTCTATTAGCCCTAATGCAACCCTGGTTATAAGCCCTAGAATGAAACAACATTTTTTCTTCCTTTTATGGTATGAATGAATATTAAGATGAGCTGTGCGCTGATTGGTTGGTTTACAATGAGCGAAGCCGCAGAGCAAAGACACGTCATAGCAACAAGCACTCACTCACTGAAATTGGTGATATTGTAGGGTGACCAGACTCTTTTTTTCCGGACATGTCCTACTTTTCATATCTAAAAAAATGTCCGGGGGGAATTTCAGAATTGTCCAGGATTTTGGTCGACCACAGTGCAGCAGAACCAAGCCGCCAGCTCCGGGGCTAGTCCGGGAACTCCAGCGGACGGGGGCAGGGAGCCAGCAGGGGGCGGAGCGACCGAACCCGACCTGGTGACGGTAGCTGCAGGCCCATGCTTCCTCACTTCTGCCTTTTTTATTTCATTTTCTTTCATGCACATTTAAATGAATCAGAATAGGGCTTTTAGCTGGGGAGAAACACTGACTCCTCCTCAGATTGCTGAAGTTAGAAATTTGTATACACTGCAAAAAAATTGATTCTGTATAAGTAATTTTTTCTTAAACTAAGTGCATTTTGTCTTGAATTGAGAAGGATAGTGGGACATTTTGTCGATGGAACATGACAATTTACATTTAAAATAAGAAAAAACAAGTGCATATTATCTAATTATCTTATTTTAAGAGTGAAAATACTCATCCCATTGGCAAACTACCTAATTTATCTACACAAATTAGGGTAAATATACTTAATTGAAGAAAATTTTACTTTTTTCTAGATCATTTTCCAGTGTATGTTTTAGTGTGTTATTGACAGCAGTATCACAGTCATGCTGAATATTTAATCAAAATAGGGGGAAAATATATTTTATTACTGCAGACATAGTATTTTACATGAAAGTTGGAAATTATAAAGGTATTTTTAAGTGCTTTTAGAAATCACACTCGACTAGAGTCTGTCATTGGTACACAGGTGCCTGCTTAGTCTTTGCAACTGTCTTGTTAGGGAAGCAATCGTCTCCTGGTGAGATTAAATCTTTAGGTGCTACACATGTAAGGCTAAGTCAAAATTTTATTCTACTAGATGAGTCTACTTTATTTAAGGGTTTTCTAGGTTCATATTAAAAGGGCTGTACTTCTGATTTACACTATACTACATACAGTTAATCATCTACAGTATATGCACACATTCATGACTCAAGCAGGGCATTTCCAAAGTAAAATGTATTTGTTTTAAAGCACTGTTGATGGTAGGGATAAATGATTTTGCTTGCTTGCTTGTTTAGGGTCAGCTGTCAGGGTAAAAAGCTAACTTCTAGCTTGTATGCAAGCTAGAAGTTACAACAAAATCAACAAACCTAACTGTACATGTGACCCACTGTACACTTTTTAATTCACTGGCAGAAAGTAGTATAGATACAGAGTTTATATAGAGCCTGAGAGGTTTACTTGTGTTCACTCTCAGAATGACTCCTATCATTTATTTAGGGAATCGCTAGATTTATATTCTCCTTATGATTTCTTAGGTCTTGTTTAAAAAGACCAAAGGTATTCATCAGCTCTGTTCTGCAGCTGAGGTGGAATCTGAGGATGAAATATTTACAAGAGCTTTTTATCTGGGAGATAAAATGGAAAAAGTCTGTTATGTAGAGAAGGAGAGTATTTACAGTGGGCATTCGGCTCAGTTTGATTTTTTTTCTTGATACACTTGTTTGGACTCTATCCGAGACAGATTTAGCTCCTGTAAGGTTTTGCCATCTCTGATGACATCTCCCAGACATTACACATAGCCATACATCAAGGTGTTTTGTGAACAAAACCCATTCATACGTGTGGTATCTATACATACATCCTGAAAATATGAAAAATATAATTATGCAGTAAATTTGGTGTCCTTTTTTCTTGTAGTTTCTTATATTTCTTTTTTAATCTTTAGACTATATAGATTCATTTCCAGTGATAGAAGCAGACAAGTGTGTTATGATTTAAAAAGGGGAAGAAATGGACATCCATCCATCCTTTCATTTTTTGCTGCAGGAAATTTTGATATATTGGCATGTAAGAAATGCACCATGTTCTGTCATTTTAGATGCGTCTGATAAAAGTGTCCCAACCATGTTAACATGCATTTATAATCACTAGGCTTTTCATCGAGTTCCGAAATATGCCTATAGACCATGTATTCTGACATTAATATTCAATCTAACAATATGTTTTGCCTGCCCTGCTGTTTTATTTATTTATTTTTTACATTTATTATAATTTTTACCATGTAGCTTAGGATTCCATAAATGTCTTACCTTTTTATTTAAAAAATAGCAAGATTTTTTGCTAGTATTTAATTGGTACCCAGTTTTTTTCTTTTGTTCTCAGGCAAAAAAGTGATGATAGGAGAAGATCGCCTTAATTGTAGCTTTTGCTGACTGAAACTATTAATTAAACTGATTACACATAAACATTTAGTTGCTTTCAGTAGGTGTTGTGTTAACAGAATAACTGGTATTGACATACCTGTCATGTCTGTTAGCACCTTTCTAGCATTCTTAGGTCTGTTCTCTGCTTCGATCCTAATAACTGATGTGTTTTTTAAGCACATATTTGTATAGTTGTGACAAAAAAGAAACAAAAGAATGTTGACACACAGTGCCCTGTATTCGTATCTAAATCTCACAGCCACAGACTTTATTTCTTTAAAAAAAAAACTGTAAATATACAGTCATATGTTTTTATAATTTTTTAAAATGTGTTTATTACTTTTTTTAAGGCTGCACTTCAAACAAATGAAATATTCTAGAGCTGTTTTAAATGAAATTTCCTTTTGTATACACTTGTGTATACAAAATGACAAAATAAATCTGTCTAAGTCTTTATGTATTTCATTGCCATTCTATGTGATAGACCAATTGGAGCACAGTTCAGTCCGTCGTCGAGAGAGGAAAAGAATCATACTGGACATAATGTGTGACAGATTTTTCACTGAATTTCAACAATAAAAAAAGGGGTGGCAGTATAGTGCTTGTAGAAATATAGTTAGCATATTTATGGATTTGATTTATGGATATGGCTGTTCAGTGGAGCAGTGTGTAGCACCGCTGCCTTGCCCCCATAGACAGCTGGAGATAGGCAACAGCACCCCTCACGACCCCACTTGGGATAAGCGCGGTGGAAATTGAATGGATGGATTTTTGTATATATATAGATGTTGATTAAGCAGTCCATTAATGAGGCTGCAAAATAGTTGAGGGTATTTAAAAAAAAAAAACGGCTAGAGCTACAATGGAATGGTTTAAATCAAAACCTGTTAATATATTGTAAAGCTCTAGTATTTATGACTATTGATGCAGATTCATTTGTTATGTTTTTTATTTTATGACAATTTACAAAAACAAAGGCATGCAGCCAGATTTACAGAGAGAATTTTAGGGACACTATTCTGGAGGCTGTTATTTGACTGAATGCTAATTAAAACTGCACTCATAATCAAATTAATATTAAAACCTGGTAATAATTCAGGTTTTCATCGTTAATTGAAAAAAATTTATTCGTATACATAAATAAAGCAGTTTGTGGTCAATTTGTCAGCATTTACTTTCAAGGGTCTTTTATTACCGTGATGTCACTGCACAGCCCAGTGGAGAGTGACGAGACAATGAGGCGAGTACTTGACAGAGTAATAGAGTCTGACCACAAAATGTTAAGTACATGGAAGGGATGGGAAGCTGCCACAGATCCGATTTGAAACCGCACAGAGATTTTCATCAGCCACTTGAGCATTTTAGTCAACTTTGACATAATGGCAGATATCAGACCCACCAGAGGTGGGGAGAGTACCCCTTTACTACTCTTTCTATACTTCCCTCTATCTCTTTGCTGCCACCACTAATTCTGACTATGGATTTTCCTGTACAGTGCTTATTGTCATATTGATGATACTGTAACTGTAAAATTGTGTCAACTTTGTAAGTCGCTTTGGATAAAAGCATCTGCTAAATGCATGAACATAGAGTACCAAAAAATTGTACTTGAGTCATAACAACCAATTTATAATTTTTTTGAATCATAAAACTTACTAATCAATAATAACAGTATGTAGATCAGGTTAAATTACAGTACAGCAGTAGCCATTCAAAATTTTCCCACGTTCCTTAATGGGCCCTTGGCTGGTTCCCTACTGTACAATTCCTTTTAAAACATCATTGTTTGTACTAAAATATTCTGTCATGATTTGTGGATATTAAGATCTAAAGAGAAGCGCCTTCTCCTGGTCATACCCCGTAATTCAGTGAAAGGTGGAGTCAGAGTAAAAAAAAATTGCATGGCAAGGAGAAGGCCAGTGGATGGAAGTTGGAGGGGATTTTGCTGCAGTCACAGGGAAGTGGGATGCCATTCGGCTGTCATTTGACTGGGAAGTGCCATTTTGAATGGCTGCTACTGTACAGTATATATAATGAAAGTATATATAATATTTAATACAGTGTATTTTCACTTAACCTCCAACTGACACGGCTGACTCGGCATAAAGAAAATAACATTTAACCAATTAGCTCTAAATACAAAACAGAAGAAAATGTTATCCTCAATGATACATAGTTAAAACAGGCCTATTTTGATTAAGTGAAGTTAGTCACAATGGGTGGAGTAGCCAGACATTTTACTTAAATAAGAGTAGTTATGGTTTATCATATTTTTACTCTAATAAAAGTAAAAAGTACAGTGGTGTAAAACTACTTATACATTTTTTTTCAAGAATTGACTCAAGTAAATGTAACTGAGTTAATGTAACTAGTTACTACCCACCTCTCAAACCCTCTAATAGTAAAAGCCATCAAAGGTGAACGTTTGTATGAATTTTTTTTTTTTTTAAGACCATTTAGCCTCTGTTGACCATAGCAAGGTTTATTATAGTTAAGAATTTATGAGCAAAAACTTTGTTTTGGTTTTTCTATATGCAGTACATGCCCATTTATTTTCATAGCATTTTAACTACTGTGCTTGTGTTGTTCCTCTTACTTTATATCTATGTTTTTTTGGTTACCTGAAAGACACTTTAAATAGAATGTATTATCATTATTTGTATACATTAAGATTAAATATCATGATAAACAGAGGGAAATTTTGCTATGTGATCTTAAAGAACAATAAAATAATAGATTAATGATATTTATTAACCTTTTAACCTTGATAACCATAGCTTTTAGAAATAACCCTATTGAATAAATAGGTTTTTCAAAGAAAAGTCTGGACGATTCTTTAAATCTTAATAGAGGGGAGACTATGTGTTGTCAGCGCTATATTTTCGGTAAAACTTGGCCTCTGAACCTTTGTAAGTAGTTAGGTATGTTGGAACTGGCAGTTCTGAAAGTGGTTGGTTTCACCGGAAATATTTTGTTGCCTCTGAAATCCCCTTTGTGATGACTAACTGGGACATAAATTAATTACTTCGACATCTTCAGAAAATTATCTGTTCATCATCCCAGAGAATGTCTCCAATTTGAACATCACAAAATATCTGATGGCCACGAGGGTTAGAGCCTTGCCACAAAGATGTCTGTTAATCTCATTGTAAGAAAGTGATCGACTAGCTGGCTAAAGTTGGATTTTAAATTGCTGGGTTGGATTATAGCATCAAACTCACATCAGTTGACATTATTGGCAAGTTTTTTTTGGCCCAAGGTTACATTCATTTTCATTTGTTTGACATTTCATTCACTTACAGCTAAGTATAAAATATATAACACAATACCACTTTCACAAATGTGTCATTCCAGCTGCTTTGGCTCATCTAATGTCAAATGTACTATTTTGGATCTTTTTCTTTTAGTTTACAAGTATATTTTATCACCTCCTGATACAGTTTTTGCTCCTTGCTCCGCACTTTGATTTATGAATATACAGTTAGCAGAAATGCATTAGCAGGGGAGTTGATGCCTGAAGTATTACAGTGTTACCTCTCATTCTTAATTTTTAACTTCCCAAACCCAAAAGCCTGCATTAAGAGACAGAAAGATGCTGCACTGCCTTGTAGAAGACACACACTCCCAAGAACATTTTTCAATTTGTCAAAAATGTCAGTACAAATCTTTGATTTATTCCTGAGAGATTTAAACTGAATGAAAAGTAGTTAATCATTGAGTAGGGGGAGGAAGATTACAAATGACTTTTAATATGTTTTGCTAATAGAAATGTTATGCAGTGAGGGAAATAAGTATTTGAAGACCCTGCTGTTTTACAAGTTCTCCCACTTAGAAATCATGGCGGTGTCTGAAATTGTCTTTGTAGGTGTATGTCCACTGTGAGAGACATGATCTAAAAAAAATCCCACCAGAAATTACAATTTATGATTTACTAACTATTTATTTTTTTTGATAAAGCTGCAAATAATTATTTTAACACCTGAGAAAATCAATACTAATATTTGGTACAGTACCCTTTGTTTTCAATTCCAGAGGTCAAACGTTTCTTGTAGTTTTTCACCAGGTTTGCACACACTGCAGGAGGGATTTTGGCCCACTCCTCCACACAGATCTTCTGTAGATCAGCCAGGTTTCTGGGCTGTCATTGAGAAACACAGAGTTTGAGCTCCCTCCAAAGATTCTGTATTGGGTTTAGGTCTGGAGACTGGCTAGACCTCGCCAGAACCTTGTTATGCTTCTCCCAGTGCCAGTCCTTGATTATCCTGCTGTCTGATTTGGGTAATTGTCATGTTGGAAGACCGAGCCTCAACCCATCTTCAATGCCCTAACTGAGATAAGGAGCTTGTTCCCCAAAATGCCCCCCCCCCCCCCCCCCCCCCCCCCCCCCCCAATGATTTACAATAGGGATGGTGTTCTTGGGATGGTACTCGTCATTCTCCTTCTTCCAAGCAGGGTTAGTAGAATTATGACCAAACAACTACAGTACTGTAGTACAGTACAGTACAGTAACTACAGTATTTTTGTCTCATATGACTTTCTCCCATGACTCCTCTGGCTCATCCAAATGGCCAATGGCAAACTTAAAACGGGCCTTGACATGTGCCTGTGTAAGCAGGGGAATCTTCTATGCCATGCATTATTTCAAACCATGACGTCTTACAGCAACAGTAACCTTGGAAACAGGGGTTCCAGCTCTTCTCAGGTCATTGACCAGTTCCTCCTGTGTAGTTCTGGGCTGATTTCTCAGCTTTCTTAGGATCTTTCTTAGGAGATTGACAGTTATGTTTAGCTTCTTCCATTTTCTACTGATTGCAGTGACACTTTTTGAAAAAGCCTCTGGCCTATCCGTCCATGCGCCAACAGATATACATCCTGGTGTCCAATAAGTAATGTAATTATGGTACTAAAATTACTTATTTCTATCCTTAACTCACTAATGAATGCTAATACAAATCTTTAAAAATGTTTTCTGAATTTTATGAGAGAATTTTGATACTTTTTACATTTTCTACGTTAAATTGCATCTCTGACCTGATCATTGGACATGCTCAGAGCAGTCCAGCAAAATATGATTAAATCTGATTTTACTTGTTTCTCTCTTTAGATTATGCACCATATACTATAATATATACCATATACTGTATACTAAAAAGACCAGATTTATGTTCAAATCCAAAGCCAAAAAAGTTAGCTCCCGGGAGTAGCATAGGATCCCATTTCCTGTGCAGATAGGGCAGAGACGAGTGATACAACAGAAGGATTTTAAGGCATTTATTTTCTCAGGAAATACATTATTAACCATTAACACATTATATTTTAGTATGCTTATTATTTTTCGGGAGGGAAAAACATCATTTAGGTTTTTTTAACGAAATAAAATCAAGGGCGACCTAGATGTTTATCTAGATGCTCGTCCTTCTCCCAGACGGACCGTGCTTCTGGGATGGATCGGGTAGTTACAGCGCCTGAATCCTAAAAGCTGAAAGTGACGAGAGGGAAACACTTCTTCTGCGCAGTAATGCTACAGGCTGCTTTCATGCACATGCTGCCACTCCCAACTCCACTAAATTCCAATACTGCACATTTTACTCAGATCAGCTCAGAGGCGAGATCCGGGGCTCTTTTGGAAACATCCGGTACTGTAGCACAATTAGCCACCCCCTAGATCCGCCACTGGTCGCACCCTAAGATATGATTCAAATTGTTACTGCTTATGGGCTGGATTTTGCAGAGAGAGCATAAAGTTGTAAGTTTGGGTTTTTCTGGAGATATTTATGGATCATTCAATCACTAACATCTTAAATTAAAAAAAAAAAATGTATTGGGTATTAGACTGTCTGTTCTCCTTGCTGTTCCTTGTTGAGTCCTTAACCAGATCTACAGGTATATTAGTGAGAGTACTGAAGAAAGAAAAGAAAAGAGCAGATGATGCCATTGCTCAACTTGCTTACAACAACGATGTTAAATCTCTCTCCTCCCTAAGGTCTTCGAGCTTATCCACTTTTTCTCAGCCTAAAGAAGCAAACATGAACTCTGATGGGATAGGATCCACAATGTTTTTACTGAACGAAAGAAATGTGGAAACTTTCACACCAGGACCCGGTGAAAGAATGTTTACACCAAAGTTTGGACTTGGGAAGGTTGACATGTTTCCCACAGACCATGGAAGTCAGCAACGTGCAGTGCTTCAGCTTAAAGAAGGAAAAGAGAAAAATGCAGAGGACCATAGTGGAAAAGTTCCCATGGTGCCCCAGTTTGGACAGAAAAATGCGGACACTTTTCCTATGACCCAAAGAGAACAAGTGTTTACAGCGCCTCAGTTTAGAGAGAGAAACCTGAACAGCTTTGGAGTGGACCATGAAGGCCAAGCATCTACAGCGGTTCAGTTAAATCTGGAAAACATGGATGCTCTGAGAGCAGAGGACAAAAGAGAGTCCACAATGCCACAGTTTAGAAAAGGAAACTCTCAGTGCATTTCAGAGCAGAAAGGAGGACGGGATGTGCAGGACAAGACCAGAGGTACTTACACATTCTTTTTCAGGTTCTTTATTTTTAGAGAGAAGCTTTATGAAATAAGAAATAATATTTTAAATAATTTTTTAACTGAACAATTCCTTTAAAAACTAGAATTAGTTTACAGGCCCCTAAATATGCTTTTTCTTGTAAGCAATGAGGTGCTAAAGGAACTGCTTTAAAGGAAAAGTTCGGTCATATTCAGAATTCAAACTTCTGAAAGTACTTTAAAAATGAAATTATTACATAGTGTTCAATAACTGATAAGTGTTTTTAATTAAGAGTAATTTCATTTGAATGTGCTTACCGGAGTGTCAAGGAACACTACTGTAACCTACCAGTTTGTCACTTCATGGTGCGGTATCGGCTGTTGATCAAGTCCCAGTGCTGTATCTGGTGTTTATTACAACGCGAAAACATTTTTCTTCAAAATGTTGGCAACTTGTTGCATATTTTTTTTTCTGGCCGGAAATTGGCAGATGGCAAAGATGATGACAAATCCTTCCTTTTCAAGTTGGCAATCCAACGACAAACACGTCCGTGGTGGATCATGAATCGGAAAGATGAAATAACATATATTTTTTTCACTTTACCCAATGCATTACAACATCCAGCTGCCATGCACATGGGCATTTTCGGTTTAACTATAGTGTTGAATTTCAATGGTGAAGTCCTCTGGAAATCTTCAATAATTGTTGTTGATTGCAGATGTGTCTAGTAGTTCCCATTGATTTTGCTTGTAAAGCGGGGAGAATGGCGCTTGGCTTACCTACCACTTACCGTGACATCGCTGACGGAAGATGTCAGGAGTGAGATGTTACTATATTTGGTCAAAAATTGCCACTCCAAGACTAATTGATGGCAACGAAAATGATTGTTTTATTTTTTTACTCTAACACTAAATTCATTAAATCACCGCAAACATATTTGTCATGATGGGTTCAGAAAAGCCCAATATGCAGAACACAACGGGGACAGATGAAAAGTTTAACAATGTTTATTTGAGCACAAGCACATGGAATTAAACACTGGAACTGGTTCAGGCCTGGGGGCAGGTTCACTGGAGTCTGTGAGGATTACAGTTCAGTTAGCTCAGGAACTGAAGAGTTTGAGTTTGAGAGTTTCTGAAGAATACCTTGATTAATCCGGGTTTTGCTTTGAGAGAGGAACTGTTGGGTCCAGAGACTGTTTAGTTCAGCAGAGTCCAATAACCGCTTCAGCGTCTTACTTCTGACTTGAAGGCAGACCTTGGTTTGGGGTTTCCAGCTCTTAGCCAAGAGCTGCATGAGAATCCAGAGAAGAGTCTTCAGGTTTGGCTCAGAAGGCAGGCTTGGCAGGTTAAGCTCATCCAGAGCTTACAAGGGAAACAGGATTCCTGAAAGCAGAGACAAGGAGGTGTTAGAATCTAATCTCATCAGAGACAACAAAGATTCTCAGGTGATTGCTAGGCTCAGGTGCTAACCAAACTGGATCAACACTGCGGCGTTGAGGCAAGGTCTGAAGGCAGGTTATATAGGAGAGGATCCTCTGATGACGAGATGCGCCTCAGGTGTGTTGGAGGCTCAGCTCAGGAGGATCCACGGCGCACTCTGCTGGAGAAAGGTGGTACAGCTCCAGATCCCAACAATATTAGTTTTAGGTATAAATATAGGCCCATTGATTATTCCTTGCTGACCGTACTTTACGTTAAATTTTTTGTAGTTTAGACTCAACATCTTGGAGACATTCCTGAGATTTTGGTCTAAACTGACTTGATAGCATCCTGCAGTTTCTGGAAAGTTGTTTGGTAAATGTCCATAACTTAAATCTGATGATCTACAACAAAGATGTTTGCAATTTAGATGTGATAGAGGGGACCATTGGAGTACAACTCATTTATTTTCATGTTTGAGATATAATTTTGAGATGATTTGAGTTTTTTTGTATGGTGTATGACGTGGATGGAAGTAGCTGTCTGCAGACCAGGATTAAGTTCATGGGGTTTGAATCGATACACATTTATGTTGGGGGTTCAAATCATGGTCAACTGGTACAAAGACTATAGAAAGTACCACTCACTGCATTATGACTCCATGAATGAGAACTGCTGATACAAGATAGGATTTTAATCCAAGTTCTGACCTAACTGTCTAAATTTTACACCTAAGATACATAATCATCAGCCCAGACAATGTTCTTTCAATCTGTTAACATCCATCTTTGATGAATCCTTGCAAAACGTAGACTTAGTTTCCCCTTTTTAACCCACAGGAGGGACTCCAGGGTAGTCTTCTCCTGTTACCATTTTGTTTCAAGAGAATGCTGTGGTAATGGATTATATTCTACTTCTCCTAACTGCAATAAGTAATTATTAGCATTTTTGTCACCTTTCTGTTTTCTTGGACAAGTCTGCCCATTGTTTTTTGTAAAAATGCAAATTCATAGCAAATTCAAAAGGTTAATGCATACTAAAAAATGGCTGTGAAACTTAAAAGTTACACTAGCAAAAAAAAAAATAATTAAAACACAAGCAAAGGGGAAAAACTATGCAAGTACCAAAAATAAACTTCAAGTTCAGAAAAGCTGCAAACTAGCACCGTGTGATGGATGCGATTTGGACCTCTAGTGGGAGGCGATCCATCAACTCAGACCAGACCCTTAGTGAAGGATGCTAAGAGGATGCTAAAGAGAGATAAAGAGTTTACTTAAGATTTAAAGGAAAACTTACCTTACAGTAGCTCTCTTTCCTCCAGATTTCCTCTGGAGGGGACTGAAGGACATAACATTTACAATTCCTTGCTAAAGTATTCAGCCCCCTTGAACCTTTCGACCTTTTGCCACATTTTAGGCTTCAGATGTAAAGATATAAAATTGTATTTTTTATGAAGAATCAACAAAAAGTGGGACACAGTCAAGTGGAACAAAATGTGGAAATTGGACATTTTAAACTTTTTAACAAATAAAAAAACAGACCTTGAGATAATACTTTATAGCGCCACCTTTTGCTGCGATTATAGCTGCAAGTCCCTTGGGTTATGTCTCTATCAGTTTTGCACATAGATAAACTGCCATTTTTGCCCATTCTTCCTTGCAAAACAGCTGGAACTCAGTGAGGTTGGATGGAGAGTTTGTGAATAGCAGTTTTCAGTTCTTTCCACAGATTTTGGATTAGATTCAGGTCTGGATTTTGACTAGGCCATTCTACAGTAACACCTGAATATGTTTATTTGTGAACTATTCCATTTTAGATTTTGCTTTATGTTTTGGATCATTGTCTTGTTAGAAGATAAATCTCCATCCCAGTCTCAGCTCTTTTGCAGACTCCAACAGGTTTTCTTCCAGAATAGTCATGTTTTGGCTCCATCCATCTTCCCATTAGTTTCATCTGACCAGAGCACCTTCTCCCAGGTGGCTTGTAGCTAACTTTAAACAAGGCTTTTTATGGTTATCTTTAAGGAATGAATTTCTTGCCTAAAGGCCAGATTTGTGCAGCATATGACTGATAGTTGTCCTATGGACAGAGTCTCCCACCTCAGCTGTAGATCTGTGCAGTTCATCCAGACTGATCATGGGCCTCTTGGCTGCATCTCTGATCAGTCTTCTCCTTTTTTAAGCTTAAAGTTTAAAGGGATAGCCGGGTCTTTGTAGATTTGCAGTAGTCTGATACTCCTTCCATTTCAATATTATCGCTTGAACAGTTCTCCTTTGGATTTTAAAGTTTTAAATGTGTTGTATCCAAATCCAGCTATAAACTTCTCCCCAACAGTATCTCTGACCTGCCTGGTGTGTTCCTTGCTCCCCAATGATGCTCTTTGTGCTTTAAGTATGCAAGTAAAGATTCTCAGTCATCCAAGTCATAGTCATTCCAAAAATTTTAAAAAACAATCCACATTACTTTTTTTCCCCCAAGTTTGAAGATGTTTCACTTCCCATCCAGGAACTTTGAGGCTTTATAGAGTGAACAAAAACCAAAGTCTTGTTTTGGCTTAGAAAACAAACAAATTGAAACCGATGCGCCCCTTAGGAATGGGCAGTCCTTTGGGTTCTTTATTAGCCTGTAATATCTGGTACCTGTCCACGTCGCTGCTATGTCTGTGTTGTTAACAGTCCTCTGAGACAATCACAGAGCAGGTGCATTTATACAGACTTAATTGCACACAGGTGGCTTCTATACATTTATTACCATCAGTCACTTAGGTTAACATTGGATCATTCAGAGATTCTCTCTGAACATCTGGAGAGATTGCTGCACTGAAAGTAAAGGGCCCCATTATTTTTGCAGGCCCCACTTTTCCGTTTTTTTATTTGATAAACTTTAAAATGCACAATAAATTTTGTTCCACTTCATGATTGTGTGCATGTCCTGTTTGCGTCTCATGTTTTTGCCACGTACAGCATGTTTACTTTGCCTGTGGTTGTGTGTTAGTCTAATTATTTTGTTTCCTACTCTAATTTTTGAGTTTGCAGGACCTTTTGACTTTGGTCGGAAATTGTGTATTTACACGCCGTTTGCATCCTTCACCCACTATAGTCAGTGCTTCCATGTGCATCACATTGGTTCCCTTACACAAGAATCATTTATTATGTGTATTAAAGGTAGAAAAACAGGGACTGTGGCTAACAGGCAAGTTTCAGATTCTGTAGCAGTTAACTGTCACCAGGCCCCAGTAAAAACAGCGAAAAGACTAAACATTATATGACATTGAACACTTTTATGGCTGGATCAAGTGATAAATTTGTGATACATTAGGTGCTGAGTCTTTAGGCAGGTGATCTTCCTCAACTGGAATGTAGGCAGCTTTTCAGCTTCAGAGTCTGACCGACTACTGTGGGCTGGGGGCTGTGAACAGAAAATGATTTCTGGATTTCACCACCTAGAAATTCTGACATCACACATCTTTAATTTCTGCAGAATTCCTGCTGTGGGATTGTGGTATAATTAAAATAAATTTTTTTTAAGAATATGTCCTCTCAGCAGTGCAACTGTAGACAGGACTGTATATTAGACATGCAATATGTTGCTGTTG